AAATGTTGTCTTGTTAAGAACAAATAAGAAGACAACACACTTGACTACAACTTCATTTTCTTAACACTTATACAAAATTTCAATGCTTTGAAAACCTAAGTATAAAGAATGAGAGGAATTGGTAAAACACTTAATGAATCGCTTGGGTAGTAAGTATCATAACAGGAATATAACATGTTATTATTTTAAGTTACGTTTTTGTGGTCTTTGAGTCAGTGCCGTTGTAAAAAATACTTTTCATGATATAATTTGAAATAAATATTTATTCATATGTCACAACAGCATTAGTTTCAAGTATGTCATTATATAGGTGCACTAAAATATGTTATTCTTAATGTATATTTTTTTGAAGTGTTCAACTTAAAGAGCTCTAGGTAATAGGTTATAAGTGTTATAATACAATTCATTTTTCTTATGAGCCGTTCATAGTAAAGAAATACAAGGTTAATAGCAATATCATTATTTTCTTGAAAATTAAACATTAACAGTTAAGGAACATGCCCATTTTTGCTAGAAACATGAAACAGATAGCACACACTCTTTTATGGAAAGAATTTTACTGTTTTAATAGACATTTAATCAATAATTTTTCATTTATTTGTTTAAAAAAAAATATAATTTACAAATTAATTACAATTTGTTATAACATAATGATATATTACAAATACAGTGTTTGTGTGTATGTATATACAAAGGAATTTGTTAACTTACAATAAATTTGATATTTTTTCTTAGGATAAAGAATAAAGGAATTTTTTAACATTAATATTAGGTAACATTGACAGTATTTCATTGACCAGGTTAAGTGAGCAAAACATTTATCATTTTCATCCAATAAAAAATCATACTTGGAAGTAGCATTTGCCAATTATGTAAATACTATGTAGGAGACTTTGAACATATTGTCTTGTGTATTCCAAGTAACAAATAGTTAACAATCACAGTATGCCATTTGTGTAATATTGAAAACCGTCATACAACTTGGTCGTGATTGAATGCAACGATGACTCAACCATGTTATCAACAAGCGATATCAGTTGAGATTCTGTAAGATTTAAATGGAAACGACATTTCAAAGATCCTATTACAGCTGTTGCTCCAGCTCTAAAACAAGGTAATTGTGAATCTGTAAAACAAAATTATAACTTAAGTAAAATTGTTTGACATTTGATCAGTCTTTAGCTAATAAAAATATTTCATACTAGCAGACTGCATGATTTGGACAACAGACAACACTCGATCCATGTGTTTACGTGAAGCAATTAAACCACGAAGTATTAGTAGTTTGAAGTATTTGAAACCATCAGAATCAAGTCCACCCATTACATCAACCATTTCCGAAGTTAATTTAAAGGGTGAACTTTCAAATCCCAAATTTTTAGGGGACGCAGATAATATGAATCCAAAATCAATATGTATAAGATTACCCTGATTATCAAGAAGTATATTTCCATTGTGTCTGTCTTTTACTTGGATCAAATAACAAACAAGCGAATAGGCAGCACAGCTTTCGATAAAATTTTTTCGTGCTTTTGCCAAAGTATTTTCTTTAAATTCCTCTTCAAAGTATACAGATAATGAATTTTTATTTTGTTTTTTGATCTGATGCAAAGATATAGTATTTAATACTGGTTCTATTAAACCCGCATCATTTGATAAACATAAAATTTTATATGGAAAAACTTTTAATGGTACTAATTCTGACATCCATATACTGTGCAACGTTAGTAATAATTGAGAGGCGAGAAGTTCTTGTCTTAAATCATCACCTGTTTTTACAATAACTGGCAATAGTTTCCAGTTGGCTAGACCACCATATGGAGATGCTTCCCTAACACGTTTTTCTTTCTCTGACCAAAGTTCTTTAAGTGCAGCAGCAGAAGGGTCTTCAGGATCAGTAGGTGAAGAACTTTTAATATCAGTAGAAACTGTGAGGCGACGTCTTATGTCACCAGCTACAATAAACATGTTCTGATTATTTATTTCTGGTTTAGGGTCTTGGGACTCACATCGAGTGAGATTTTCTTCACTACGGGTTTGACGAAGATTCGATACTCGAGTAGTCAAAGGAGACCTTTCAGCATCTTCTACTTCTGCTACTTCCACATAAATAATAAATGGAGCCTAAACATAAATTAATAATTTTATTTAATATGTTATGTTAAGAAATATAACTACCAGTATTTTTAAGTTTCCCAATTTTAAACCTATGTTATAAAATTAGAGTTAGTAAAAAAATGATCATATTATTTTAAGAAAATAGCAAAAGAATAAACTTAGTTGTGATAAATGTAGTGAATACAAAAACTCATTATGAATATATTATTGGAAAAATATAAAATCTAACAAAATATTTTATTATTTAAGATTTTGTAACTAAACTTAATTATAATTAAAACTTTAGTAAATTATTCTGATTATCAGTGAAATATTAAACAAATATCAAACACAGTAACAATTTACCTTGTCTTTAGAGTTCAAAACAGCTGCTGCACGAGGAGGAATTGACAAAATATGATGGTTACAGTTGTATAATGGTATCCAAACTTTAGCAGGTAAATTCTTATTAATTAAACTTAATTGGCTATATAGATAAGTAGTTCTTGCTTCTCTAGTTGGTTGTTTTGCCAAATCTCTTCCAAGTGTTGTTAAACATTTGATAAATTCTATTTCAGAACACATTCTTGGAGCCTATAGAATATTTGAAAAGTATTAATATTTGCAATACTATTTTAAATATACATTTTTTGTTCAACTTACACCACAATGACACTCAGTTATTTGTTCAGTGCAGCTGCATTTATTATCAAATGCCATACCAGAACTTAAGTCTCCTAAAAAACTTCGTTCTCGCACTAAATATTAATAAATAATAATTAAAAATAAACCTGTTGTATAAAAGCTAAAAATAATAAATAGTAGTTTTAAATTGTAAATGAAGTATACTGTATAATAAAATATTACCTATTTGAATTCCATTTAAATTGACCATTGAGCTGTCAGATCTAGACCGACAATGAGTCTTTTTTGTTAATAGGTTAAATGAATCTAAAGTGGTTAGTTCACTTGGTCCTTGTTTGTAATGCTCGTTAAGAATTGTACTGATTAATTGACCACTGTGAGATTTTGATTCAGCATTTAAATCATGAAAGGCATTTAATAACCATGCACACTTTATAGAAAAATCACAAGATTTACGACACCTAAAATTGTTATTAATTAATTAATTAGCATTTATGGTATCATTTTAATAATTGATAAATTTTAACATACCTATGTACCAAATACGGATCTATAGCTTCTGCAATATCATCCATTTGTATGTACATACTAATAAGTTGTGGCAAGAAAAAATCAACTGAATTGTCGTCAAAACTAAATAATTTATCACCTAAAAATTAATTTAAATCATTACCACTATAAACATATTATACTAGAATAAATCTATAATTTTACTTAAATAAGACAAGTATATTACCTATATACCGTTGGACACCAGGCTCTTTTGAATTAAAAAGGTACATAATGGCCATTGGCATATCAAACAGCTTGGACTCTATCAGTCTGAGCAGAAAGCTTTTAGAAACTTTGTCGAATGTCTGAGCATCGTAACTTCCCTGTTTTGAAGGACTGGGTTCTGAACAGCTAAGACTTTCTCTACTGCAGCTGCTCGTCATCTCTGAGCTATAATAATTTATAACTATATGACAAATTATTATTTGTTTTAGCTTTAACATGAACACAATAATTACCTTCCGATGCCTGAATCGTCTGAATGGATATTTGGGTCAGACATTGGTGCACATATTGGTTCAGAACACTCAGGACTTGGTATCACATCTACTTCTGGTATTTTAGTAAGCACAGAATCCAAACTACGGTTTCGGTGGTGTGATGGATGATTTATTGGTGGTAATACAATACCCATTGACCTTTATATTTAATAAAATGCATATAAATTGGAAAAAACTTCAACTAAAATCATTCATTTAGATATTTTATTTTGCAATATTTCTGAAATAGTTACACGAGTGTTATAGAATATTATGTAACCTAACTCTATCGTCAAATACCAAATTGTGGTTTCAAATTTGTAATTTATAATATAATTGAGCTTTTCTTAACATTTAATTAAATAAAAATACTAAAACTTTAAAATTTATTGGATTATACCTTAAATACAACTGTGTGTATATAGAAACTAAACTGTAAAATATTTTGAATAGTTAATAATTAACTATTCAATTTTTAAAATATTATCAACAGTTTTTAAAAATTATGAAAAGAAAATTTAACATATAATGAAATAGATATTAGTTTTATTTTTAAACCAGATAACACAATACAAATACGACCAACTAGAGGGTAAAAACTAATGTTATTAAAGCCTTAAGGTAATTAAACTAGTAACATCATACCGAAAGTCAAGGCTAAGGTTCCTTTGGTGGTTGCTATTTCTGTGTTTGCTAAATTCCGGACGACCATGTACAGGTGTTACAGAAGTAGTAACAGCTACTTTTGTTGTTGCGTTTTCGTACATTACGTTTATTTATATTTATTTGAGTCAATTCTAAAACAGAATTAAACGCAATATAATAATAATTTATGAAAATTATTGAATGGCGTAAACCAGAGAACGTTATAGCAACAATTACTTTCAGATTGGTGTCAGAGTCCATTACAAGGCCGAGGCAAAAAATTCGTAGTGGGTTTCAAGTTACATCAGTGAACAGTTTGTCAAATGGTGTTCAACATAGTATTAAGATCTTAAATATATATATATATATATATATATGTTTGTATTTACATTTAGCATATATTTGTTGTCGATCTTATGGAAAACGTCAATATTGTTTAAGTTAAAAAATTTCAAAAATGCCAAGTACACAGAAAAAAGGGCGTTTTTGGACATAACAAATGTTTGAGGTTAGAATGGTTAACCGAAAGCTGATGTTATCTGTTGCAAATGGTCTATGGTTATGATAATACGAAATAATATTGACGAAATAATATATTACACATTCATACATATACCTGGGTGCCCATCAATTTTCTTACACTTATAAGATTAATTGATCAAATTCTTATGGAAGTTCGTGTTCGTGTATAATTATTGTTGTTCACGCTTCATAGTCATCATTATAATGGACTTGTCTGGGTTTTGTCGGTACTGTCTGACGGAAGACGATGCAAAAACGCCCATAGTTGAAGATCCTGATGGTTTGGCTGAGAAAATAAATATGTGTTTACCAAATAAAGTAAGCTATAGTATTGTAAAGATAGATGATATTATAATTGACTATAATAATTATAATATGATTGTAATTTTATATTATTATTATCAATTCCTATTGACATCTGTTGCTTGAATAGTTTTCAGAAGAAGATCCATTCCCAAAAATGATATGTAATGGTTGTCATAGAAAACTTTTGGAAACTTATAACTTCTTTATGTGCATTCAAGACACTGAGAATCATTTTCGCGGCATCTTAGATCAAATGGTAATAGTCTTTATTAATACGAATATATAGATCTTTATTTTTCATCTTATCTTACATTGTTTTTTAATTTTTAACAATTGAAATGACTAATGACTTATTTATATTATGTCTGATATTAAAATTAAATAATTTATGTTAAATGTTTTAGAATCAGCCACCAAGTGATTGTGATGTAGAGACACCCACAGTTAGAAGGTAAAATCAATTAACATTTTTAATTTTTATTATTAATATATTGTAATTTATTTTAGACCAAGCAAAAGAAAGTCTGGACCTTGTAAACGTTTGCCTGTTAAATCTCCTAAAAAAACTGCTCATGCTGAGATTACAGAGAAAAATGAAGATCAGAGTAAATCTGTGGACGTAACCTCGGAGAGTTTGACAGAAAAACAAGATAAGCCCTTGCACGTATGTGAAATCTGTGATCGCACATTTCAAAATCTTTTGGCATTTAATACTCATGTTTTAAATCATAATAATGAACCTCCTACTATTTCATGTGAGTCATGTGGTTATACAACACAGCATCGATCTTCTATGTACCGTCATCAAAAACGTCATTTAAAGCAGTCTAAATATACTTGTTCAGAATGCAATAAGAATTTTATTACAGAAAGTTCACTAAATGAACATAAAAATAAGCATACTGGTGATAAGCCATTTAAATGTGAGTCATGTAAAAAATCATTTTCATTATCTCGATATTTGGCAACACACATGCGCCTTATACATGGAGATACAGTATCATATGTGTGTACTCAATGTGGGCGTAAATTTGATGATCGTAGTTCACTTGCTTTACATCGTCGAACACATAAAAGAGCCATGTCTTGTTTATGTGATATATGTGGCAAAGAATTGTCCAGCAGAGAACATTTGAAATTACACAAACGATTACATACTGGAGAAAAACCAAATGTATGTAGTTTTTGTGGTAAAGGTTTTGCAAAACAATGTACATTAGTATTACATCTCAGAACTCACACTGGTGAAAAGCCATACCAATGTGATCAGTGTGGTAAGACATTTTCACAGCGGTCTTCTTACGTAATTCATTATAGAAAACACACTGGAGCAAGACCTTATGTATGTGCTTGTGGTAGTGGTTTTGTATGCAGAGCAATGTTAACTGCACATGAGAAGACTTGTGCTTTTGTTTTTCCTATCAACATGTACCAAAGCATGTATTAATTTAACATTGTTTAAATATTTTTTATTATTTATAAAATTTATTATTGTTTCTGTAATTATCATTGTTATGACTTATGATTATAATTTATAAAATATTTTTTTTTCAAATGCCATATTTTTGAGTCCCTTACCAAGTGTTTACTTCTTTATAATGAATTTTTTTTTTATTTAATATTTAAGATGAAAAAATTAGTAGTTAACACTAAATGAAATAATGACTCATTAATTTTTATATATTTTATCATTTGAAATTTGTATAGTTAGTCAAATAAAATATTTTCTTTTGTAATGCACGTACATGAGAGTATGTCTAAAAGTCTAATTAGATTGCCTATTTGGCATACATTTTAATGGCACCCCTAGGTTTCTGTTATGCTCCCTATTTGGGAAGAATGGTTTCTCTTCAAAGAGAGCCTGCTCAAAGAGAAATGCCACGTATGGCTGGGTTTAAACTAGTAATGGTACACATTTAAACTGCCATCTTAGTTTTAATGGTTATTCTGTGCTCTAGTAAAATATTTAATACTTATGATTATTTAAATAGAAATTACACTGTTCGTTATAATTATTAGGTTAATGCCTGCTTTAGTATGGGCTGCACAATTTTCAAAGAATAATTTTAAATATTTATTTTGAGGGAATTGAAACTATCTGTTTAATACTTTAATATAATATTATTTATTTTACATTATATAATCATAAGTAATATTAATAATAATGATTTAATTAATTGATTTGAAATGTATACTCTTTTTTAATATATTTACAGAGTATCTCTAGGGTTGTGAAGAAAAACAAAATATTGTGATGGGAAATAAAAACCTATTCAAACACTATAATATTTATAATTAATAAAATAAAAATGGTATTGTTTAAATTTTATTAAAAACTTGTTGTCTATTAAGAGGAACTCTGATTTGAATTTTTTTGTTTTTTAACCAGATAAAAATGTTCTCTTCTAAACTGCTTTGGTTGTCATCTATAAGAGTTTACAAAATTAAGCTGTAGAATCAATTTGTTTATGGTTCTACTATTTTAAATTATTAAATTCTTATGGGATACTCTGTAATATTCAATTTGTGTTAATTTAAAATGGGTATTATATTACCAAACTTAAAGGCTATGGACACGCTTTGTTTCATTGTGCAATACTGCAATACCTATGTTAAGATATTTTTAAGAATAAATAATTATTGTATGGTATTATTATAATACTTCTTATTATTGTGAATATTTTTTTTCTTGAGTAATTCATCCTGATTAAGCTTAGTTCTATAGTTACAAAAATTTAGTCATTTCAGATAATGTTTTTGGCTAAATTATTGAAATAGTAGTTAATATTAATAAATTTAAATCCCACAAAATAACTTACATTATAATTTATAAATTATAGTAAACCATTTTTTCATTTAAGTATCTAATTATGAAGTTATTTAGAGACCTATTATTATAATTTATAATATACCTATAAATATTTTTATTTCCATTTTTAAAGATTTTTTTAAACACTTACAAAATTTGATTCTTTTGACATAAAACAGCATATTATTTCAAAAATGAATAACAATTTTTTTTTTTAATAATATGTTTTTGAATAAAAAAAAATTTAATTTTATATTTTTTAAAGAATATTAATGTATAAAATGGAATTTAAAGTAGGTAGTTATCATTTATAAATAGTTAAAGTTTAGATGAGAAACTTATCAAAATCTTAAAAATAATAAATTATTCTGTGGCGAAAAATTCCTAAAAAATATTATGTATTATTATACCTTGAATTTAAAAATTAATTTTCTTTATAGGTACCAAATCAAAAAAAATTTACATAAAAGTTGAGTTAACAAATTAAATTTTATTTATCTATTAAAGTTCAAATTTTTACGACATGGCATGTTACCCTTATATTTCTCTTCATAAATTTTTGTGGTAATTTAAAAATGAATGAACGCAGATATTTGAAATTTTCAAAATGAGCTATTTATGGACTTTAAATCTTCGATTTTTTTCCAATAAATATCATTGAACCAATATGGTCTTTTGATAAAACGATTTTCTTAAATAATAATTTAACTTTATAAATACTAGTTATGTACTGATATTTTATTTTAATAAATAATTTACGAGAATGACGAACAGATAACTAATTCGACAACAACCGCATTAAAATAGTTAATACGCACATGATTACATAATATTAATAATGATACAGATAAAGTCAATAAAGATATTATTCAGGTTTTATCAATAATAAATATATAGGTATAAATTAATATAAGTATGGTGCTCACGCTGTTACAAATACTAGGTAAGTCATGTTTAGTTATCTTGACCTTAGCTTGAACCTTGCCTAAGAACCAACCACCAACCTGCATTTTGTGAAGCCAACTATACCGCCAGTTACTGCGGTTGTAATATACATTAAAATGTCCAGTGTTTACACCAAAACTCAAGTACATTATCAAAAAATTTTAAAATCAAAATAAACAATGTAAACAATACTAATAATATAAACTTGAATGGAGACCTTATTGTGAACAACCCCTCAAATACATAAATTACACAAGGTACAAAAGAGTTCCATCCTATACACTATAAGCCCCATCATAAATCAAACAGAAAAAATTAAACACAGAATCCCACACAAGAAAGTAACAAAAAAAACTGATATATTCATTTTTAGTCGAAATGAAGTTATTATATTAAGTATTTTAATTCAATTACTACCTTAGTTATTAACAAAATAATTTAAAAAAATGATGAGTATTAATCTTTCCAACAGAAAGTTCCTTAAAACTATATTATTGGAACGCAAACGGTCTGAAAACAACAAACTATGTTACATACAAAATATGTTGCTTTTACCTATAACGGAAACCCAATAAACTTTTAGTACCTACTAATCATTTTCTCTCCGAGTACCGAGTCCATAAAGTCGATCACTTCGATGGAACCTCCCACGCGGGATTTATCATTTAAATCTCAAAAAAAAAACCCAACATTATCGACTTAAAAGTCTCCAACTACTATCAATACAAGCAACTGATATCCAAATTGTATTAAACTATAATCTTACTAAATTATCCTCATCTACTAGCAATAAAACCCAAAATATTGAAAACTTACTAGTGAGTACGTTCATCATCGGCGGTGATTACAATGCTAAGAACACACAATGGGATAATAGATTGATAATTTTTAGAGAGAGAATGTTCCTTGATAATATTCAAAAACTAGATTACACGTTCATTTTTTCAAATGGTCCAAACCTACTGACCTATTTATTAAAATCGTCAACCTGACATACTCGACTTACTTCTCTCTTGAATTTCAAAATAAATAAAATGTAAAATTCAAAATACTTAGTTACGATGTTGACAGATATAAGAAAATAGCCTATCTGGACATACGGCATCCAACTATGGAGTATGGGGTGAAGGGGCAGCCAAAAATCAAATTTATACAAAATTAAAACCTTTCAGACTTTTAGTCCATAACTACAAATGTCCCATTGTATGTTTCAAATCACACCCTCCATTCCGATTTAAGAATTAGCGCACTAAACGAAACTATAAAAATATTATGTATAAACGATTCCACTTACGACTAACTAACCACCAAATTCCCGTAATTTCAGCCCTAAATTCTGACGCCATTCTTGGTAACTCTCCTCGCAGGCTAAATATATTATGATGTCGTGATCTAAACCACAATTAAAAATTATATATATATATATATATAAAAAAAATAATTAAACAAAGTTCTATATAAAGTGTCGCCATTGGGTGGCTTCTTTTTTTTCATGCGTCTAACTGCAAAAATAAATGTACATATATACCCGCACACATGTTTATAGTAAATTAACATTTAAAAAATTATTTATAAATGAAACAACTACTACAACTGGCTCTCATCATGATCTTCATTCTAAAGGTATAAGAAATACTTATTCAATATATTATCTATTTTTTCTATTTTCCTAAAATCATAATCTAAAGAAACTTTTGTTCTCACCTTATCCCACGAAATCACATAATATCGAATATTATTTAAAAAAATTAAAGTGATGAGTTAAAATATGAAATTAACATAATAACACAATATATATATATATATATTATAAATAAATATTTAAACGTAAAAAATTATAGCTATAAACATAATTAAAAAATCTTCTGATGTATTTTTAATTATTTTATATTGTTGGAAAAAAATTTACGTTGGATCTTTTAAAACATTTACAAGTATTTTAATCAAAGCAGTTAATAAACATTTTATCAGCATATTTTCAGAATAATACAAAAAAATTAAAATTGGTTAATGATTAATTGTAAATTACTGTGATTATTCGAGCTTATCGAAATTTAAACTTTAGATACAAATAAAAAATATTTGAGGAATTACTAAGTACACATAATTTCGTTTTATAATTCATGCAAGAAAAACTTAAATGGGACCTTGTTTTCAATTTTTAAACCTGAAGTATGAATATGAAAAAGTTGACTATAAATTACCTAATTTGGGAAATTTTACGATTTTAATAAATTTTGTCATACAAACTTTAAATAACCGTAAAAAATTACAATTATTTTAAAATTTATTTTTAACAGTAGTGATGTATGCAATCTACTAGTAATCTTATAATTTAAAAATAGACGTATAATTATACTTCATACCTATTTATTTTTATCCAATCGATAAGTATTATGTATGATGCATTTAATACTCTTATATACACTTTTATAACCCAATTAATACGATAAGATAAAATTAAATATTAATAGAAAACGTAAAAAACTGAAAATACACGGAGAATTTTATTTGGTTACCATTTCGACAAATTGCCGTATTAAGTATTTTAACGTTTAACGAGTTACTTATTAACGTTATTTTATTTTTAATATTTAATAAATAACTCGAACCTTGGCCATTTTCATCAAAGTATTATTTTTAATGAAGAAATTATTTAAAAAACAAACAATTTTTACCTCAAATGAAGATAACAATTTTAAATGGAATTAAATAAAATATTACGTCAGTTGTAGTGAAAATCTTAAAGAAACTACCAAACAAGCAAAATAAAGGAAATTTAGATTAAATGTTTAAAACAACAGTTACAATAATGCAAAAAAAAAGGATGTCAACTAATATAAAGGTAAGCAGTTAGTATACATTGTACTAGTGATTATAAAAATAAAAGTAACAATAAATTTTAATAATATAAACATATTAGTGTAATTAATTTATAGTAAATAATATTGTAATTCAATATCAGTACAACACTACTTTTTAACCAGTTTTAACAACTTATGAGAAACTTTATGTATTACATTTTCAAGTTGATTGGCTACCTAATACATTTTTTTCATTGAAATATATGGAAGAAAAATTCGAAATTTTTAATAGTCTATATATCTAAATAAGAGTCAAAATATACTAGATATGCACATTTAAAATATTTGGTGAAAATTTTAAATAATTACAGTCTTTGAATCACAGCATAACACAATCGATTTTGTGTAAAGATTCTCGTTTTTTGTCAATATTTTTTTGTTTTTCTCGATTATTAAGAAAAGTTTTAGAATATTTCATTTATGAACCTTGAGGTATTAAATTGACTCATTTTCCTACCAGGAAAACTAATTTGAAATTTTTATTATTC